AGGGCTGGGAAGGTGGCTCAGTGGTAGAGCGCTTGCCTTGCATGCTCAAGGCCCTGGGTTCGATTCCTCAGCACCACATAAGCAAAAAGGAAAAAAAGCTGGAAGTGGTGCTGTGGTTCAAGTGGTAGTGCGCTAGCCTTGAGCTGAAGAGCTGAGGGACAGCGCCCAGGCCCAGAGTTCAGGCCCCACGACTGGACCCCCCCCCAAAAAGAAAGAAAAGTAAATCCATATTTTACACACAGAAAACTCGCAAAAGGAAAAATCTACTTAAAAGGAGACTAAAAAAAGAAAAAAATGGTATCTAACATTGAAGAAAAAAAGACATTGAAAACTTATTTTACAAAAGGCCTCGCTGAAAGCTTCTGCATCATTCAGATTACTCAAAGATGTCAAAAATTCAAGTTAAAATAGATAACTTTATTGAGAAACGTGCTTTGTCAGTGAGAAAGTTACAATTACAAATATTTTCACTTAATAAAATTAATATATCATTAATTCTAAAAACATCTCTTTATTATCTGAAATTGCATATCATATCATTTTGATCCAGGGTTTTCTTTAGTGTAGCCCATGGAAAAAAAGTCCATTGTGCAAATTGCAGAATGTATGAAGTATGATTTGTTCGCACAAACTCACCACTTGAACTTGAGTTGCCTGCATGCATGCGAGTTCTATCTCTTTGCTCAACTATGAAAGTCTCCTGGTAAAACAGTGAGGCTTTACGCTTACTCCTGAGCATTCAGAGTCATAATGTCATATATTTTTAAAAGGTTTCACAGCAAGACTGTTCTGCTTAAAATATACCCATTCCCTACTCATAAAATTGGTGTATGTTAATGTTAATAGTACACTAAAGAATAAACTCCTCGTTAACTACACTCAGCTTCCATGCAGGTTCTTTTTTGCTTTTAATGGCACTACCCCTATAATTTTCTACATGGATTTTTATATATGAAACTCTAAAAATATGATATAAATATTTGAATGTTTTAAATAAGTTAAACCAGCACTGATAATAATTAAGTTGATGTTCAAATGTCATGTAAATGGATTACTTTTTAATTTTTTGACGGTAAAGCTTATTTGAGATTGCTGTGGTCTGAATGTTTCTGTCTCCCTGCAAGTTCACAATGTGATGGCATTTTGGGGAGGTGTTTAGGTCACAGTGTAGAGCCCACAAGCATGGGACTGGCGCCCTTTTAAAGGGTCAAAGAGACCAGAGTTCTTCCCCTTTTACCATGCGAGACACCATTAGTATACTAGAAAGACAGGAAGATACCATCTGTGAATCAGGATCAAGGCCCTCACTGTTTTACAGTGTTTTACAGGGCTAGTTTTCTGTTGTTTATAGGCCATCCAGCATATGCCATTTTGTTTTATCAGTCTCAATGGACTAAAATAGAAACAAGCAGTAAATTTTAAGAAGTAATTTTTTAAAAAGTTTTTGGTGGTAGTGGGGTTTGGACTGAGGGCCTCACCCTTGCTAGGCTGTTTACCACTTGAGCTATATTTCCAGCCCTGCTTTGGAAATGGAGTCTAGCAAACTTTTCTGCCTAGGTTAGCTTTATGATCCTCCAGATTTCAGACTCCTGAAATAACTAGGATTATAAGTGTGAGCTACTGGTGTCCAACTACATAGGCACTTAAAAAAACTGAATTCTAAACAGTGGTAGAATGGTAGATTTAGAATTTTAAGATATTATCTTCACACATGTATGTATGTTTTTTTTTTCCTTTTTACAATTCTTTTTCTTTCTTCACTGCAGGGAACAAATTATTGCTAGAGTTATTCTGCATTTTAATATTTTGCAAATTCCAGAGATGATACATTACATAGCACAATTTTAGTAACACTTAAATGAATATGTTCAAATTGCCTGTAGTAAAAGATCAGATTATTCTTTTGTTAAAGGATTATGGAGATGATGAATGTCTCTGAAGTTGTTATTCCCTTCTTTGAGAGCTTGTTTGTTGGTTCTGGCTGGGTAATGCAGCCACTTATACACTTGTGTCTGAAGAACATCTCCCTGTCTTGGAGAAGGCTATCCTCTTTGTCTAATTGCACAGTTTCAGGAGGGACACACATGGAGTGGTGAGGGAAGAAGGGGACACCCATGCAGCCTGCCAGGCCTTGCCAGCCAGATTCTGGAATCAATCCTGGTGATCAGTGGGGAGACAGATGCCACAGCCCCATTGCCCTCACATCCATTGTATTCCTTTCCTAATAACATATATTTTAGTATTTTGCGTAGAAATGCAAGAAATACAAATCTTAAAAAGTAATACCTTTAGTTTGTAAATAAATAATATTTGTCAAAGAAATGGAAAAATTAAAAGAATAAGGACCTTTTAGAATTATTAAAATTCTTTTTTTAAGAATTCTATCAATAAGTGTAAACTGATATAATTTAAGGTGCATTTGTCTAGCAGTAAATTTACTGAACTTGACAGTGTAAAGGATAGTCAGTGTTGAGTTTTAAATTATAGCAGTTATAGGAAGAAATTACTTTAAATGTTGGCATGTTAGTATTCTAGTAATTATTCATTATCAGAACCTGAACTTTTGATTTGGTTTTCCCTTTTCCTTATGTTTCCAATGTGTTTTATATACACATAAGATCACATGATGTCAGTTTGGGGTAGAGATGTGTCTTACCAGGTTTTACAAAAAAAGTAACTGAGGCTCAGAGAGGCTGGAACTTGCCCAAGGTCACACAGCCAAAAAGTGATAGACATGATTATTGTTGTGGGGTTCCTTGCTTCATAATTTATATCTTAGGGGAAAGTGAGGATGGGGATGAATGCTCAATTACTTTATAGCTTTCCTGTTGAGGGGTGTTTGCATGAGTAGCAGGAGGACTTTGTTGAGGACTCTTTTGAAGAAATCTGTAAAACAAGTACTCATCCCGAAATTCATAGTCATTGGTAATATGTTGGATGACACCCCCTTGTACCAGTCTGTCTCCATATAGCACAGCTTCACCACGATCAGAGGCAAGGCCAACTTCAATGAGCCAGTTCACCAGGTCACAGCCACAGAAGGTCCCAGCAGAAGTCTTTGCACCACACCTGTATGTCAAAGGAATGATTCACCCATATGTTCTGTAAATCTGGTATCAGCACTGCGTAACAGAGGACAAGCAAGGAAAGACAGAAAGAAACAAGGAAAGACAGTGTGATGGTTAAAAGCATAGCAGGAATGAAACTATTCTGAACATAAAGGAGTTGCTAACATGATGCTAGAATGATCCTTGGGAGGAAAACAAAATATGCTATTAATGCTTGTGAAGACAGAAATGCTCAAGCAATACCAAAATGACAGAGATAATGTAAATGTATTGTCAGAGAAATATTCCTTTTATGGAAGCATGGCCTTTGATGATAAAAATCTGTTTTGTAGACAGTTGAATATTATATTTAATAAATGATTACACTATTTGCTTTGTTAGGTAACTCCTGTAACCCCCAAATTAGGGACGCTGAGGTACATGGATTTCAAGATTACAAGGCTGTTCTAGGCTACATATAAATAGCGAGACCCCGCCTCAAAAAATAACAAATAACAACAAAACCCAATAAACAAAAACAAATGACTGCTTTTCTACTTTTACTAAGCTACCCAAATCAAACTTTATTTTTAGCTTACAATGCCCACAAGTAGTCTTTCTTCTTGCTCTCAGCAACTAACACAACTATACTGATGTGTTTCCAGGAACTTACTTTATTAGGAAGCAAGAAAAAATAAGTAAGCTCTGTATTGCTACAAATCTAAGATTTTAAGAGTGTACTTTAGTTGTGAATCTACTTGGTGAATATTTAAAATTTGTCTTTCTAATGCAATGTAAAATGCCTTAATTATGAACAAATAAAGAAAAAGATGTGAAAAATAAAATAAATGATAAAAGGTGGCCTAATTACATGAATTCTGTCTATTTAATATAAGTATGCAATAGACAATAAGAATCTTCCCACCTAAAGTGCTTGACAATAGGAAATAATGGATAGGAGAGCAATATGAAATGAGAAATAAGTAATGGAAATCTTTAAACATTTTGCCATAAATAAAAAATTAGTTTCAGGGCTGGGAAGGTGGCTCAGTGGTAGAGCGCATGCCTTGCATGCCAGAGGCCCTGGGTTTGATTCCTCAGCACCACATAAGCAAAAAGAAAAAAGCCGGAAGTGG